CTAATACTACAATTGTTAACATATATGTACGTAAATTTTTACAATATAACTTATGATATTGGGTTATTCATTTATGTACAATAAAATATCAAGTAAATTTTTTTGTATTAGAAAGAGATTAATTTAGTGTGGTACCTATTCCAAGCTTTCATATTATATACACATCTTTTTTCTAGATGGAATGAAACTTCTAGTTTACTATACTTCCTGTCTTTGGTTCTTTAAACCTGGAAACTTCATCAGTTGAAGCTGTACGAATACTGTCTAATATGGTTAATGCTGAGACACTAAATCTAACAGATGTTGCAGGTTACACATTACAGGCTCTGCCCCACAGCCTTGTTTTAATAGATAATTTCAAAGGTAACTTATAGCAATGTATACTAAAGTAAGGTTTTTTGTCCTAATTTTTCTTTTGTTATCATTACAACCTGTATACATACATATCTACAGGATTCATAAATAGACATTTTATTTGAGTAAAGCTGTTTTTAATTTATTTAAAAAAATTACATGCAATAACTGAGTGTTGATCTTTACAAATCTATATAAAAGTTCAATTCAAACGGAAAATGGAGGGTGTTAATTTGCATTTTAATATATAGTAATATTTATGTGTTTAACACTATAGACACACGTAAGGACACAACACTAGATTTAAGTAAATAACCATGAACAGAACTTGAAGAAAATGTACTAAGTAAAGAGCTAAATTTTACATCTATCGTATAATATGGTACCTACCATAAATATTTAGCTACGAGTACAGAAGATGCAATTTTATAGCCTATGAGAAAAAGAAAAGATTTACAATAAAAAATAAAGTCATCAGTCCGAACAAGTAAGAATACTCCATCAAATGCCAAACTCTAGTTTAAGATAAAGCCCGACTCAATCGAATAGGTAACACACCATATTTAAATGGAGAAGACCCATGATCAAATCCTGACACAGATATGGTCTTTCTCAGGATTTCCCCCATGACAGTAGCAGATTAGTAGCTGAAACATAGATTAAGAACCAGTTATTAGTATTAAGTTATTATAAAGGTTACTAGTTAATAATTAAACTGTCCTGGCATGTTGTGATTAGAATGATGGACTTGCAGTCTGCAGGTCACAAGTTCAAATCTTGTCATTCATCAAGATCCATTTTTCAGTCACAGGGCATAATAATGTGATAGTCAATCCCAATTTTATTTGGTAAAGAATATCCCAAGATTTGGTGGTTGGTGATGTTGACTAGTTACCTCTCCTTCAGTTTTTGAGTAGCTTAGTGCAAAATTCAACAAACAAACCATAAGTAGGCTTAGGAAGCTACTAATCATGACAATGAGATATAGTACCATTGGCTCAATGGTAAGTCTAAGAATTTATAACACTAAAAATCTGCTTTTTATACCCACAATGGACACAACAAAGGTAACATATTGTGTAGCTTTGTTCTTAATAACAAACAAACAATCCAAAATAATATGACATTAGATCAAGATATATTAAAATTCTTGTACGTTTTTATGTTTAAAACTAGTAATTTACTTAATCTCACTGATATCTTGTTGAATAAACAAATGTTATTTCATAATATTGAAAGTAAATAAGCATTTTTTCTGATCTTATTCATTTAGAAAACTATCTTATAATTCCCAAGTAGGCAAAATTAACTTTTTAGTTTCGTAGTTATTAAAAAAGAGAATAACATTGCACCTGTACCATTTTATCAGGGTCTGGATCTGTAGCACAAACATCTTATTCGAAGAAGCTTGGAACATTTGGTGTGTTATCTTGTGGAGGTGGTGGATTAATGCTGTTTCTAATATGCTTGTTTGCTGTGATAAAAAGATACAAAAGGTCAAAAAGGTAAAAAATTATTTATATTTATGTAAAAAAATTTTAATTTTTTTAAGGTATAAAATAATGCAAATGTAAATTATTTAATATAAATAAATATATTTATATATAATATACAAGATAAATAGTTGTTAATCTTAGTGGAATCATAATATAAAAATTATTTGATAATGTGTAGATTATTCTGATAAACCACAATAAATAGAACAAACTATCAGAGAAACTAGTTGCAACATATTTGTGCATCCTATTCAGTCTCACATTGTCTTCTAGCATGTGAAAACTGGTCAATAAATGTGTATGTGACCCCTGAAGTTGGAATTCTCTTAAGGACACAAGAGGTCAGGAAGTTGTTAAGTTTGAGGTGACCTTGGGAGGTATTACAATTAAGCAGGCTTTTAATTTAGCAACTTTCGACGATTCTTTTTTTTTTATGTATTTAGCCATTTTGTATAAATTCTTGTTGATTTCTAATCAGTTTGATGGCCAGAATCTTTCATATGAAGTAAAATGGCATTGTTTTGGTTTCCATATTTTATGTCTTTTTTTTTTTTTCTTCTTCTTATGTTCAGAAACTTGTATCAACACTTCATCCGGTTTCACTTACATAACCGTTCTTTCCTTCTTTTTCCCTTCCTTCATGCTCTTTGTTAAACCTTGTGCTGGTTGCAATTCAGTGGCAGCTATCAATATTTCATTGAAAAATTTCCTGGTACAGATGGTGTACTTCCTCATCCAGTTCTAGTCTCCTGAAAAGATCAGCTTCATTGCTGTCTCTTTCACTGGTTGTGGTGGGTCTTCCTCCATTGACTAGGAGGACTTAAAGATCGATGTTTGTCATTGAATCAACAAGTATTTCATTCAAAGCTTCCCACTTTCAATTGAGTAGTTCATCCTTCATGTGTGTGGGTGGCCAGAATTTTTCTACTGGTCAGGAATCAAGAACAAAATAACCAGTGGTCAAGAATCGTGATATTTAGGATTGAAACTTCCAAGTCAACTCAATCTATGATAGATTACAAGGTACAACTTCATGATCTTTTCTTGAAAAAAAGGTCATCCAGACATGAGCATACAGCAAAAGCACTCAACATCATAACACAAGAACACATTTGTTCCAAGTGCTAGTAAATGTGCAATTTATATAACTTCAAATGGAACAAAACACACAGCTATTTTCGTTAGAGCCTGAGTCCAGTGGGGAACATTAACAAAACTGTGGTAACTGCAGTTAAGTCATCTATTTTATGCCCAATAACCTTGAAGGTTTCATAGTCCATACATTCATAACTCCAACTTTCCTTCTCATAGAAATTAAACATAATCACAGTAAGCAAGTGAGATCAAGTCCAAATTCACAAATAAATCCAAAATTATATTTATGTATTTCACATAAAACGTACTTGACACAATATTCATGGATAATGCCTATCTTGTTTAGATATGATATTGAAATAAAGCATTCACTGATATCTATAAAATATGGAACTAGTTCAATAATACAAATCAAAACTACTTAGAAACAGTAGATACTCTATAAATTTTCTTTCATTTTTCATGAATAAATGATTGTGATTTCACTTCGTAAAAACTGGGTCACATTAGCAAAAAATATTGTGCTTCAATTTCAAGATGTTCCTTCATCAACATATGTGAAGGACAGTTATTAACCATGTACTTCACTTGGCGTGATATATATATTCTTTAGAAGTACTATCTGCAGTATTCCAGTTTGACTACAAACTTTAAATATTCATATTTTATATAAGAATACTTCAGTGGCGTAGCAGGGGGGGAAGGGCAGTCGCCCCAAGCCGCAGGTGTGAAGGGGCACAAAATTTCCTCTGGCCTATAATGCCTATTAATTGATAATTATGCCCTCCCCTAGGATATAGCGCAACTGCTGTACGTTAAGTAAATACGACACAGTGTTACGTTATTTGTGTGTATTACACTTGCAGTTTTAACTTTTAAAAGCTTTCAATCTATGCACCCAAATCTAAGGTCTAGTTTAGATGTATAAAGCTAAATTGCTGTCATTATTATTATATCTAGATCCAAACCTAAGACTAAAAAGATGGAAATACAGGTCTAACATTAATGTTAGATCTAGGATGTACTAGACGTACTTAATCTAGGACTGTAATCTAGCACCTATTAATTAGTTAGCCTATATTTAAGT